ATAGAGTCTCAACATCCTGAAAGCACAGTGCATGATGCATCATTTACCCAAATGATACGGTGGCATGGAAATGAGTGAGGCTTGTGACCAGGAGGGTGTCGTGTTTAATATTTAATGTTGTCTCAGTGCACAAGATAATGAACACTGTAGTGTTCCTGTAACTGTGCATTTAGGCACAGATTAGTATTTTGTGTGATGGTTCTAATTTTCTTGGGCAATGAATAATTGGGTGGATTTTAATTAGAATTTTGTTGAAATTTGATTTTTAGACATTTTCCAAAATATATTTTTTTATTTGAAATATGCATGTGACACATTAAAGTTTTTGTGTGGTATTTTAATTTTTTTTAAACATTTGCAATTTTTTTTTGTTCTAAATATTTTATAGAGGTGAAGGTAAATTAAAAATAGTTTAAAAATTTTGGTTGATGTAATTTTGAATGAATTTCTGAATACCATTTCAAAAGCTGAAACATTTAAATTTTCAATTGATCCATCTAGAATTCAAATGAACAAAATTCTAAATCTTTTTGTAATTTTTATAGCTGCATAGAAAATTTAAATGTGTGGTTATTTGCAAATCACATATTTATTAATATTTATCAGTAATCAAAAATATTAATATTTATTAAAGAAGAACTACCATTGTTATTTTAGTATGAAACTGTTTTTATTAATATTTTGAATTGGTTTTCAACTTTGTATTTTGTTTTTATTTACATTTTAATTAATTTTATGAATTATGTTTGTGTGTTTATTTTTATTAGATTTTTTTAACGTCAATATAGTTTAAAATTTTTATTTCAGTTTTAGTTCTTTTGGTACATCAATTAAAAAATTTTTTTTTATTTATTTATTTTTTATATTCCATTTCAGGTCATGGTTTTAGTTATAGGTTTCATTAAAGGTGGGGTAAGTGATTTCTGGTAGCCAAGGTTGATATTTCAAATCACCAAAACAAACACGCCCCTACAAAAAGGGTCTCGCTCCTATTTTGATAGCTCCGCCCCACACATGCAACCCAGGCAACGATTAGTTCTGTGAAACAAAGCAAAACCAATGTTACACCGTGTTTAGACCGGACACGAGCGGCGTGGCGCGACAAAATACCATAGAACTCATTATAATCAGTGATGCTGTCTACACCATATATATATATATATCTATGGTCTACACTGGATGCGGTGCGACACGACAAATACCCGACAGAAAACTGCTGCTGCGTTCTATTTATGACGTATTGACACAGATTTCAAATGATTTTCAATGGTCGCTTTGTCGAGTCCAGTGTACTAGACAGACAGCTGTTGCGGCGCAGACACTGTGTTACTTACCTATCGAGAAGAAACAAAGCAACCTCGGCGTCCGATCCCAGACCTTCCGTTCCTTGAGTTCTCTCCAGCGCTGGAAAGCTGATCTGATATTTACACGGGTCCTACTTCTTGCCTTATCGTAAGCCTTCTTTAGTTCCGCAGATGTTTTCCTCCTCCTCTTTTTTTTTTTTATCCACCATCGTATCTTTCTGTCGTCGCTCAGCTCGGCTAATGTCCGTTGCCGTCCTCCTGTGCACTGAGCGCTCTCTCTTCCACACATCATGAGTAGACACGCCCCTTACTGCTGATTGGCTACAAGTGTGTTTTGGTACTCGGCCCGACTCGGTTTTCTAAAGCGATTTTGAAAAAATACATAACCCACCTTTAACTGTAGTAACCCTGTAAACTACATGTACTTACTGTGTAATTTATGCTGTGGTGCTGCTTATTATTAGTATTATGTTTTACTGCTGCAGTATAAAGTGGTAGATGTTGCCATAGCAGGATCAAGTGTAAAGTTTTCAAGGTCAATAATCATCTTACAACTTCCTTTCTCCTGTCTTCTTGAAGCCAAAGTCTGGAGGCAGAAGACGAGGAGGTCAGCGGCACAAAGGCAAACCTCAAAGCAATTCCACAGTGACCCTCGCTGGTGCGGTCGGGGGCTGCTAAAGAGTCCAGCTCACCCTCCATATTTTACTCGCGCCTTTCACCTGCCCACAAGGACCAGACCAGACCACTTTGATGACCAGGCTTAAGAGTTCACAGAACCAACTTGCACATTGTTTTGTGAATTTTAATTTATTATAAGATGTGCGTGTGTTCGTAGACTGTATATACCGTAGATTTTGAGACTATAGGACACATACTGCATAGTGGTTCTGTTTTGGCTGTAAATGTCAGCATAAGAAGGATAAACTTTAAGTCCATTCTTCTTGCGGAACATGCCATCATGTACTTGCTCTATGACTGTCATTCTTATCACATTTTTAGGATAATCCCAATGGAAATGATGTAAAGCTCTGGCGGCTGAACTCTTCATTATGTAGCTAACTGTTTTTAAGGGACAATTACTTGTCACACAATTGCATTTAGTTTGAATTAGCATTGTTATTGTGGACCATGACGATAAGAACTGGATGGATTCCCGATGCTTTCGGTTGGTGTTAAGACCTGAATTCAGTGGGGGCTGAGGACACTGTGACTGCAAAGTTAGCTGGCAGCTAGTTTAGTGTGAAATGTGAATTGGCAATTAAACGCACATTGAAATCTAATCACACTCATTGCTAATTACCTCGAATTACAGTTTATTTACACGTGCCCAAATCCTTGGTCAAGCTGAGCAAATCACTCGAGTGTTTGTCAGGCCTTACAGACTTGGCTCAGGATCTGGGAACATACTCAAATGATCAAATAAGATACTTCAGACTTCCCAGTGAAATATACACAGAGTAAGGGACGAAGAACAGAATGTAGATCTTGAGGTTATAAAATGTGTATAATAGTTCATGATAGGGAAACTTTACAAACCAGTGCCAGTTGTTCTTAAGGAAAAAAAAAAAGTTTTATTAACCTTTTCGCGGCTGAACTCTTCATTATGTAGCTAACTGTTTTTAAGGGACAATTACTTGTCACACAATTGCATTTAGTTTGAATTAGCATTGTTATTGTGGACCATGACGATAAGAACTGGATGGATTCCCGATGCTTTCGGTTGGTGTTAAGACCTGAATTCAGTGGGGGCTGAGGACACTGTGACTGCAAAGTTAGCTGGCAGCTAGTTTAGTGTGAAATGTGAATTGGCAATTAAACGCACATTGAAATCTAATCACACTCATTGCTAATTACCTCGAATTACAGTTTATTTACACGTGCCCAAATCCTTGGTCAAGCTGAGCAAATCACTTGAGTGTTTGTCAGGCCTTACAGACTTGGCTCAGGATCTGGAAACATACTCAAATGATCAAATAAGATACTTCAGACTTCCCAGTGAAATATACACAGAGTAAGGGACGAAGAACAGAATGTAGATCTTGAGGTTATAAAATGTGTATAATAGTTCATGATAGGGAAACTTTACAAACCAGTGCCAGTTGTTCTTAAGAAAAAAAAAAAAGTTTTATTAACCTTTTCTTCCAGCTGTGATCTATAGGCCTTCAGAACACTTGCTGTAATTTCTTTCAGATGGTTTTACTGTTTATTGAGCTTTAGTATTCACACCCTAGTGGCAATATGATACCTGGACCATTCTCTGCGTTTTCATGTGAAACTCATTTTCCACTACCAATATACAAATAAACTGATGTTTAAGAATCTGTGTGTGATTCTTGTTATGCTAGTTTTGCTTAGTTGGGCTGTCTAGTCCAGTGGTCTTCAACCTTTGTTAGACCAAATACCCCAGGGATCTCTGTTGTATACCATTACTGATGTCTAGCATTTTAAATGTACATGCTGAGACAATTAATCATTTAGTTGTTTAGTTGACATGAATTGAAAAATCCACCCCATTTTATAAATAATTTTATAGATCATCTTGTGAATACTTCATGCATGTTTCATTTTTACAAAATCTCATAACTTAGTCCTCCAGTCTTTTCTCTCATGAGGAATGTCGGACTTCCCCAATCAGTCTGCTTAAAGGAATAGTTCACCCAGAAATCAAAATCCTGTCATAATTTACTCAACCCCGTATAAGTGTATTTCTTCAGTTGAACACAAAAGATATTTTGAAGAGATAAAAAAAAAGGAAAAAAGTTGGGGACCCCATTGACTTCCATAGTAGTTTGTCCATACTGTGGAAGTCGATGGGGACCAATTGGGGTTTGGTTACCCATATTTTTCAAAATATCTTGTGTTCAACAGAAGAAAAAAAAACTGAAACTGGAATAACCTAAAGGTGAGTAAATGACAATTTTAATTTGAAAAATTTTTGGGTGAACTATCCCTTTAAAATCAGTCCTTTCTTACAATAGACTGCAAGCTATCATTCAGATCTGCCTCCATTCAGTCAACCACTGGGTAGAACCAAGCCTATGCCCAACATTTTTATTTTTTATTAAATCCCTTTTCAAGGTTGTGCAATCTAGTGGTATCCTTTAGTGTAGCCCAGGAGATTGAATGGTTTTCTTGACAATAATTATCTTTGTCAGTTCATCGATGCAGGTGTCTAGTTAAACTTTTATCTTGAGTTTGTAGGTTGCAGGAAGGCATCTATGCCTGAAACAAATTCATTTGAACATGATTTATTTATTTTCTTGAATAAAGGCTGTTAATACTTTTTTTTGAAAGGCACCTTTGATCAATTGTGGTATTTTTTCCAATAATCAATTTCGCTTGAATGTACTGTATGTCACAATGCAGAAGATCTGTCTTCTATTTTATTGTGACTACAATACATATTTTTCACAAAAACAGGAGTTTAAACCATCTCAAATTGAAGACCTCTGGGATTATGCCTAGTGGCACTTGTGGGAACAATTCCACATTTAACAAGTCTCACACACACACAAAAAGACAAAAGCACACAAATTCTTACAGATATAGATTTTTATTTACGTACACATTATCAGTGATCGTGGATATGATCTAACGCCCTGCGAGTTTGGTCATGCTCAACCATTACAGACTAGTTTTTGGTTCAAAACAACCCTGTCTACCAATTACAAGAACTTTAAAATGGACCCTTTTTCATTCACTTACTCTACCATCTAACTGTGCCACTGCAGGCTCTTGCAGAGAAGACACACAAAGCTCTTCTGCATCACTCATTCAGAGCGGCCCATTATGACTCCATGTAGACTGCAGTGCAGCACTGGACCGTCTTCTTTTTCACATCTCAAAAAAAATAAAATAAAAAAGCTAAATACTAGTATTCTCTTCTTTATACTTTACATGGTTTATAAGAAATAGCAACATATGTAACACAAAGCTGATTCATTGCCACACCAACAACACCGAATCATCAGTGATGCCCTTCATGTTGAGGCAGATTCAATCAAGTGTTTTAATGCTACAGTCTGAACTACACACGAGAGAAAGAGACCTGACTGTAGTGAATGAGTTTCATCATTAGTTTGCTGTGGATGTAATGGGATGTTACGGATGTGGGGTGGTATTATTCAGCTATTTTGGAAACAATCATAATTGGAAAGTCCTCTGAAGATAATGAAAATGTGTTTTATCTCTGATTGTACATGTCTGATAGACACAAACGTGATCATTTAGACACGGAATTAGCTCTTCAAGACAATCCTTCTGGAGCATAAGAGCTGGACTGACATCTTTCCCACTATCCAGAGATCACCAAGAGTAAAGGGACAAAAGGGTGCAAATCCTACATTCATTTCATGACCACTCTAGTCGTGCCCCAAATGGTGCAACATTTATTTAGCTTCAAAGGAGAGGAAGTGTTTGCAGGTAGTCCTTAGTCTGATTCTGTGTGAAATCTCACATTAGAGTCACAAAAAGTGAAACTATTGTGCCAAGACACACAAACACTCAACAATGCAGCCATGTGACATAAAGCTGTACAACGAATGAACATGAATTTCACGTGTGATGCCTGTTTTCTGCAGATGGAGAGTGATTTGGTCTGTGTTTGCAGCTCACAGGAGGCGTGTGATGGTTTAGCCATCAATGTCCCAGCTGAAGAGGTGATGTTTCACCAACATGTCCTGAACTCCCTCCTTCAGAGGCCTCTGCTCCTTCTCCTGGAAAAAGAGTGGAGTAGAGTGAGAGATTCGGTAAGGTGTCTTCACATCTGCACTCCGCTGATTAAATGATGCTCCGTTGCCTTGAACGGCTGAACTAATTAAAAACAAATGGCTGTGCTTGGCATTCCTGATGATTTTCATGACTATCCTGCTGTAATTAAACAAGGCACTCTATCAGTGCTTGAGAGCTCAAGACAAGAAGGTCCTGTGACATGAGAAGCACAGTGCACTAACACCACATCTAAAGGTCAGAGCGGAAATTCCTCTGCAAGCTAATATTAGCGCTAATGGTCTCATGTTTCAGGTGAATGTGGAGTCACTGAGGAATTCTCAACACCAGGTAATGCCTCCCAGTGCTACTTCCAGACAACAACTTCCATCAGCATTAAGTCTAAATCCAGACTGAAGAGAGGATGTAGAATTCATAAATCGCAATATCATTCCGTTAAACACCTGGCAATTCCCACCCTGAATGTGACTGCAACTTATCGCAGGAAGTCTGTCTGACACCCAGAATATTCACCCATGCAACCTGTTCATACCAAGTCTGAATTTATGCATGACAAGATTTTGAATTAAACTATAAATTCCTATCCCAAAAGGACTTTCAAATGTTAAGATGCCAAAAAATTTAAAAAGCCCAAAAAAAAAAAAAAAAAAAAAAAAAAGAGTGGCATCTTCGGATGAGTTTTCATTAACATATTATAATATTTAACACTACAATTCAAAAGTTTGTAATCAGAAAGATTTTTTAAAAGAAACAAATACTTTATTCAGCAAGGACACATTAAATTGATCAAAAGTAACAGTAAAGATACTTGGTCCACCACTTCTGATTTGAGAACAGGAGACTTCTGGAATGGCAGACAAACACTCAGCCGCATGTTAGCCTGTGTGTGTGTGTGTGGGAGGACATGTGAGACGTTGAGTGAATGTGAGGAGGAAGTGCCAATCTCTCACCTCTTTTTTGGTAGGCAGCTCACAGTCTTGGGATAGACTGAAGGCAAACTTTGAGAGAACTCTGAAAGTAGCACATACAAACCCATGTCAGTAATACACTCCAAATCAACCAAAATAACAAAATACCAAAAAAAAAAAAAAAAAAAAAAAAAAAGAGTGGCATCTTCGGATGAGTTTTCATTAACATATTATAATATTTAACACTACAATTCAAAAGTTTGTAATCAGAAAGATTTTTTAAAAGAAACAAATACTTTATTCAGCAAGGACACATTAAATTGATCAAAAGTAACAGTAAAGATACTTGGAAATAAATGTCGTTCTTTTGAACTTTCTATTCATCAAAGAATCCTGAAAAAATATATAAAAATATTAAGCAGCACAACTACATCTGTTTTCAGCACTATATAATAATTGTCTCCCGAGCATCAAATCATCATATTAGAGTGATTTCTGAAGACTGGAGTAACAATGCTGAAAAATTAGCTTTGTCATCAAATGAATAAATATATTTGAAAATATATTAAAATAGAAAACAATTCTTAAAACATTTTAATAATCCTTAACAATAAATTTGACTGCATTATTGATCAAATAAATGCAACCTTGCTAAAAGACTTCTTTCAAACACAAATTATGTAATTATTTTATCCAGATGATTCAAATGTAAAAAGTGATTAAACAATCTAAAAAAAATAAAAAATTCAGTATTAGTTTCATTGTGAATAGTTTTGGGGCCAGCTGCATAAACTTAGCCACCATGTTAAGACGGTGTCTTAAGAACTCGTTTGATCAACTAGCAGCTGTCAAGGGGTACTCAGTCTTACATTCCCAATACAAATACAAGAACAATCTACCTTTTCATAACTGAATATAAAAAGTTATGACCAGTCTTGAAAACAAATTAGGTGACTAATTTTTAAAGACTAGTCTAAAGAGTTTTTGCAACCGGCCCCTGGCTGGAGCAAAATTAGTTTTTGCCATTTAGTTACATAGGACTTGGTGTGAGCAGGCCTTTATCTTTCAAAGCACACTGGGATACAAGCATCTATCTGAACTAAACATAATGGAGAGCAGTATTTGCTTTAGAGATTCATTAGCATTCCGCACAAAAGCTGCTGAACTGGTTTTTAAAGGTTTAGTTGGCATTATGTGAAGCCACTATGCAAACAGCAGTGAACAGGAGAGCAGAACACACCAAGCACTACTACTACCACCACTGACTGCTTCCGCAGCTAGTAACTAGTTGCCAGCATTACCTAGAGGTCCCAACTAAAGAGGTGATGTTGGACCAAGACATCCACCACTTCTGATTTGAGAACAGGAGACTTCTGGAATGGCAGACAAACACTCAGCCGCATGTTAGCCTGTGTGTGTGTGTGTGGGAGGACATGTGAGACGTTGAGTGAATGTGAGGAGGAAGTGCCAATCTCTCACCTCTTTTTTGGTAGGCAGCTCACAGTCTTGGGATAGACTGAAGGCAAACTTTGAGAGAACTCTGAAAGTAGCACATACAAACCCATGTCAGTAATACACTCCAAATCAACCAAAATAACATTTATGGCAGTCATTTTAGCATACAGGATTGACCAATTATTTCAGATCATTTAGTAATTATTCATTCACACCAATTTGTGAACTGAATTTGCTCAAAAAATAAAGTGATCTCTATGCCTTATGAGAACATGTAATGTTTACATGGTTTTTGAAGTATATTAAAATAGAGAAGTCATTTTAAATTGTAATATTTAAAAATTGTATGGTTTTACTGTAGTTTATCAAATAAATGCAGCCTTGGTAAAAGATTTCTTTCAAAAACAAATTATTGAATTTATCTTTTATTCTGGTGATTAGTAAATTTATCAGTAAAACAAAATAGTCAAAATACAAAACAGGATCAGACTGTGTGCGCTGCCGTGGTTCGCACGAAACAACATGAAACCAGACCTCATTTGCACCAATCGAAAGCATATTTACACTGTCTGAATCGTTCCCTCTCACCTACATTGTGCACTACAAGCCATTCACTGTACAGGAAATACTACACAAATACTACACCGATCTCAGCCGGCATTTCAGCGTCCATTTATAGTGCAGGTGAGAACTCTGAAAGTAGCACATACAAACCCATGTCAGTAATACACTCCAAATCAACCAAAATAACATTTATGGCAGTCATTTTAGCATACAGGATTGAACAATTATTTCAGATCATTTAGTAATTATTCATTCAGACCAATTTGAGAACTGAATTTGCTCAAAAAATAAAGTGATCTCTATGCCTTATGAGAACATGTAATGTTTACATGGTTTTTGAAGTATATTAAAACAGAGAAGTCATTTTAAATGGTAATATTTCAAAATTGTATGGTTTTACTGTAGTTTATCAAATAAATGCAGCCTTGGTAAAAGATTTCTTTCAAAAACAAATTATTGAATTTATCTTTTATTCTGGTGATTAGTAAATTGATCAGTAAAACAAAATAGTCAAAATACAAAACAGGATCAGACTGTGTGCGCTGCCGTGGTTCGCACGAAACCAGACCTCATTTGCACCAATCGAAAGCATATTTACACTGTCTGAATCGTTCCCTCTCACCTACATTGCGCACTACAAGCCATTCACTGTACAGGAAATACTACACTGTAAACAAGTGACCGATCTCAGCCGGCGCTTCAGCGTCCATTTATAGTGCAGGGGGCAGGCGCTTTGGATTCTAGAGAGCATTTGATTGGTCAGAAGATTTGATGAAAAGATGAAGAATGATGTGACGTCAAAAAAAATCGTTGAGCCATTTTGGCGGAATTGACGAACTGCAAGCTTTGAATGCTTATATGTTTCAGTTTCGCTGTAAACAACATATTCGCCACACTGATGCTCTCGTTTTCCGCTATATATTGAATGAACAACGTAGCAGCGCCACATCTAGTGGGTTGAACTGGATAGGCTAACAAAAGCATTAAAATGCAATGACACTTACATTGTCGTCGCATTTCGTGCGCCACTGATAAGGCTGCCTGACGGCTGACGCAGACCTAAAATTCTGAAATTCGAAAGTGGATTTTAATTCAACGAATAATCAAAATTCTATTTTTTTTTGACAGCCCTACAAGAAAGCAGTGGATTTATTGATTTATTTACTGTATATTGCTGCTGCCACACAGATCTAAAATAAACATCTGATTTATTTTCCAGCTGTTTACCTTCACAGACATAACCGACTGTTTTTGCAACTCATGTGCGTTTTTAACGTAAACTTAGTTTAGTACTCACATGCTGTGACAGCCGCTTTCTGTCCGTGTGTTTCGGATGTGTGATCTCAGAAAATCATATATCAAAAGTTTAAACTCATATGGTTTAAACCGCATGATTTCAGCGCGATAAACATGAGAATCAGAACCATAACAGATGTTTTTAGGAGGTCAGAGCTGTAATGCCGCAGCTCTATTCTGGAAAAGGGGGCGGGGAGCAGCAGCTCATTTACATTTAAAGAGACAGGCCCGAAAAACAGCGTGTTTCTGCTTCCACTCAAAATAGGCATTTTCAAAATGATATAATAAATGATCTGTGGAGTATTTTGAGCTGAAACTTCACAGACACATTCTGGGGACACCAGAGACTTATATTACATATTGTAAAAAGGAGCATAATATGGCTCTTTTAAGACTAACATATTGATACTAACACCCAAAAAACTTTATTTTAAAATTTTGATTTCATGGGGACTTTAAATACTTCGAGTTCCAGGCACGCAAACTTCAGAAAAATAATATTTATGGCAGGCATGTTCAATGCAGTTGTTTTGACAGAAGGAAACAAGACACATTTATCATATCAACTTCATTTTAAACTACAGATTTAGTAGGTTTATAAGCTGTTTAATTGCTACAGAGTCTAGAATAATTCACTGGATAATGTTAATTCACTCAATAATATTCTCTGGAATATTGGAAAATAAACAAAACATCGTATTTTATTGCATTTCTCAACTGGAATGTTATATCAGAATTATTAATAATGTTTTTGTCCTTCTAGATTATGAAATGCCTGCTGACAGCACGATTGATCTATGCAGTTACACAGAACTATACTCAAACTGCGATCGCTCACGGAGATAATAAATAATTAATTTTCATTGAGTTGTATTTATTTAGATGTTTACTCGTCTCCCCTCAGATGCGCTGCAATGGCGATCCTGCGCGCAATTCTCAAAACACCCACAAGATGGCGGCGTTTATCGGTGAATCCGATATTACAAAACCGATATCCGATTATGGTAAGATGCTTAAATATCGGGAAATCGATATATCGGTCGATCTCTACTACCAATCTCTGTAAAAATAACATAACGATGCTGTCACCTTTTAAAATTTTTACCCCACTGCAATTAGTCTCTGAATCGCAGATGAAAATGGTAATTTTGACCCCTCTCTATAAAACAGAACATTTTATAGTAAATGTAGATCAATGGTTTAATATTTTGGCTTTCATCACTATATATATGTTTGTCTTTCTTGAGAACAATATTGACAAAACAAAAAATTTGAGCTGGGAAAATGTGATTGATTTTACAGGGAATGACCCATTAACAAATTATAAAATGTCTATTTAAACTGTAGAATTATGTTTCAGTTTCCACTTCTTTTTTTAACAAATTCTGAGCGCAATTTCAGCCCATCAGCAGAGGCTCAGTCTTACCTGAGTTCACACTTTATCTGAACCCAGCCAGGACTGCGCAGGAAGGACCAGGGATGGTACCATTTCTCCACAGCATTCATACTGGAACACAACACCTCCAGCCACAGGTGCAGCACCTGCTCACTAACACAACACACACGCAGATTATGCACGCACGCTTGCATTATGGGAAAAGAAAACAAAACAAAGATGGTGTGACCGCAGGTTTGATTTACTTTAAGCCCACACAGATGAGCGAGCGAAACTTGACGTCCATCTGAACGTGTGCAGTGTCGTGGCTCATGTTGACAGACTGCACTGCCTAAGATGACAGACAGAGAGCGCTCGGTGAACAAACGTAAAAACAGTGCTCAACCACCCTAATCGCTGAAAAAAACATTTCAGGTTTCCTCATTTTGTTAAACTCACCCTGTAAAGAAGCTCTTCAGGTGTGAGCACCTTCCCATCTTCATCTAACCTAAAGAGATGAAGCGGCTATCATATCAGTAAAGCACCATTATGAAAATTAGAGAAGGTGAGATCTTATGTAACTACACGTCTCACCTGTAGGTCTTGCAGAGCACCAGTCTGGAGTAGACCGAGTTGAAGTCTCTCTCCACTTCTCTGCTGGCTGCCTGGGATCAACACACACACACATCTCTTTCACTCACTTGACATGTATGTATCTAAATGTATATAACTTTCTATAGGAAACACAACCTGCTCCTACCTCCTCGATGAAGAGCCAAGGGTGACAGGGTCCTCCCAGTATGGAGGGCTTCTTCAGGCCGTGCTGAAAGATGGCCTTGAGAGCAGGACACAAAGTGCCTCTGACCAAGTCATTCACTGCCTCAGTTACAGTATCATCTCCAGCCAGAGAGTACTGAACGACAAGAACGTGTGCATGAGACAGTTAAGTCGTTTATCCCCTATTAACAGGAATTCAGACACAATCCAAAAGCAAAGCTATTACCTCTTTACTTCGTTCATCCAAGACTTCCACAAATTTGGCAGGAAACCAGCCTAATGGGACAAAAGGTTTGTGGGAAATACTGGTTGGTGTAATGAGTTGCATGTAGGTTATAAGTGCAGTTGGAACCATTTCTGAAAACAGGGTTCCCACTCTTTCATGAACACCAGATTTGAAAAGAAGGACTTTTTAAAGCACCATTTATTTTATATCAAGCACCTATCAAATTCACACCCCAGCATATGTAGTGTCATGAAAGACCTTACAGTACTTAACATTTCACTTACACAAATTTAGACCGTTTTGAGCAGTTGTATTCAAAGGAATTTAATGAAATCCATTTAAGTCATTACTGGTAATATTCAAATACAATTTCTAAAATACCAATAAAATATGCATCAAACTGGTTTTGCTGTATTTCTTGTACAAGATTTAAATTTGAAAGAATTTCTCAATTTTTTAACTAATAAAAAGTGGGTAAATGTTGTAATAACATGGTAAAACCTCTTAACAAAAATTTGCACATTCACTCAAAAGAGACGTCACTCAATAAACTAAAGTCAAAATAATTTTGTAAATGACTTATTGTAAATCCCATTTTTTCATCTTTGATTTAGAGGAATGCAGCTGCTCAAAGCGTCAATATTTTTTACAAATAGTTCATGAACATTTTAAACCTTGTACATGCGTAAATCTGCAAAAAAAATATAAAGAAAAGAAATACAAAAAAATAGGACTTTCTATTTGCTTTTAAACTGTAAACGCTTTTAACTAAGCTGTTTTTCCACTTTTTCAAGTTCTACATTTTTCTCCTTAGCTCCATGTTGCAGTAAGTTTTGGGAGTTCATTTTTAGTCCATCTCCTATCCTGAAAAGTCTGTCTTGCAGAGACTGACAAAAATGAGCTCCTAAAACGTACTGCCAGATTCTGGAAGATCAATTCTTCAAACAGTGGTACAAGAGGATGTGGTGCTGGTTCTTCAAGAGTCACTCTCAACTTATCTGTCCATAAAGCCTATAAAAAAATAGTCTTCATGTATTTCAAAACACTTCAGCATGTTATTCTTATTAAGCAGGGGTCATCCGTCATGCACAGATCTAATATAGGCTACTGATACACATGGTTCTATGCTTACGTTTCTTTTTCTTGTCCTCCTAATTTAAAAAATTTAGGAGCACCTTCCGATCAATGATCAAATATTCTGATAAAAAATTAGCCTTCCTAATACGAGGTGACATGTGACTCCTTAAAGTAAATTACAGGGGTATTTTCTTTTTACCTTTGCAATGGCATAATTTTCATGTGTCAAATTTAAAAATGTATGTTTATAAGCTTTTTAAAATTTCTATTTAAAACAATATAATAAGAATTAGAATGAAACAATAAGTTACCAATCATATGAAATTAGTATTAATAAAAAATTAATTTGTACTACAGAGGGTGCCCAGAAGAACACAAAAGTGGCTTGAAGGTACATTTTCAGACATTTAATGAAGCTCAGAGGTGGCATGAGTGCAATTAAATTCATACATTCATGTGGAGATTAAATGTTTTAAATATAATATTTTGAATACAGAAATATTAAACGATTTAAATAACTGAAATTATACCTAAAAATTTAACTGAAACCACCAGCAGGTGGCGGCAAGTCACTGATTTTATCACTGAATCATTCATTCAATTGATTCGTTTGAATGGCTGATTCATTCAGGAATGAAACACCGCTGTGTTTGCTTTTAGAGATACGCAGGACAGAAATCCGTAGTAGCGACGGAAAACTTGAATCCCTGTATATACAATATTAGAATGTTTGCGGGAGCGGGACACACACGTTGTGGGACTGGGTGGTAATGGTCAGAAATTCAGCAGGAGCGGGCTTAAGAAAACTGTCCCGCTCAGGGCTCTAGGCTGCACATCAACACTCAAGTTTTTTTTCGCGCTACCCCATCTCCACCCACAATCATTAGTGCCGTTTCGTTATCTTTTACAGAACATATAGGAGAATTTTTTAAATAGTGCCATAAACAAAATTTATTTAAAATTTAATTCAAGCACTTTCAAGGACTTATGTCTGTTTTCAAGTACTTTCCAGGCCTTGAATCCATATGTCTGAAATTCAAGTACTTTCAAGAAGCGTGGGAACCCTGGATCTCCATAGAATAGTCTGGAGTGAAATCCTAGAGAGAGAGAGAGAGAGAGAGAGAGAGAGAGAGAGAGAGAGAGAGAGCGTATAAACAAATGTTAACAAAAATATAAAAATTTAATGGGCTGAAATAAAAATATTTCTACTACTACTACTAATTATTATTATTATTATTAAATTAATTACAACACATTTTTGTAATTATTATTATTAATAAACATTTACTATAATTATTATTGTTTTATTATTATTAGAATACACAATCATAATACGAATAATTTATAAAATACTATTTATTAATAAATAATAATGGCAAAATAAGCTACACAGATATTTGGTGGTAATAATAATAATAATCAACAACAACCATATTAATGATTATTATTATTCCAATACTGAAAATATTTGAATATTTATTCAAATATTGCAATAATTACAATTATTATCAATATTATTATTAAACAAACAAAAAACAATACTGATTACTACTACAATTATTATTATTTTCCAACTCAATTTTAATATGGAAACTACAGAGAGAAATTCAGCATTATCAAATGAGATGTCTGGTTCGACATCTGATTACTTAATGGTTATAATTGATTAATACCTCGAGACTCTTCATGACTCATGGTGGTCTGTTTACTGGGAATGCCAGTGTGCAGCTAATTTCTTGATGCATAGGCCTAATTTATACAATTCAACAAAACAACTCAGTGAGTCATCAGGTACATGAGTCAGTGTTGCGGTTTCAGTGCAAATGTTCTGTTTCTAATTGAATTATTCCTGACAGATTCTAAACTGTGATTTCATGTGATTGAGTGGCTCTTACAGTGCTGCAGTTGCGGGGATCCAGGCAGTGAAAGTGCTCTGCGGTCCGACTGATGGCTTCTCTCAGTGCTGCCACCAGCTCCGTCTGTTTAATGTTTTTGGCCTTCAGCGCCTCCACCTCGTCCTCCCCCCAGAGAAGTGAGCTCAGGGTGGATTTCCTACGCAGGCTCTGTCTGCGGACCACCTGAACAATGACACACACCTACGAGTGAGCCTGTGTTCACATTTTGTATATTACAAATAAAGTGTGTCAAAATGTGGCCATCACAGATGATGATCCAAGATGCTGTTTATGTTCTCAACCTTGTTGAGGTTGGTGTGGAGGGAATGGGAGTTGCCGGAGTTGAGCTGGGCCTGCTCTGCCAGGATGTAGGCAAGATGCTTGTGTCTGTGTGCATCCAGGCTTTCCTGAGACAGAGATCCTGCCAGACGCACAGCCTCACCCAGCACTGCCGCCCCGTCCTCTAATTGACTGGGCAGATCTGAGAGTGTGTTAAAGATGGATGCCGAGTTCTCAGATGACACCAGTTCTTCCTCCTTTACAACACAAAAAGAAACCATTATTATTGACGGTGTGTCAAATCAAACACTCATCGCTGCCTTGTTTAACCATCGAAGGCTTAGTTAATAGAAAGATAGAAGTCTTTGAATAAAGTTAAACAACCTTGATCTTCAGCATGCCCAGCGTAACCTGGAAGAGCACCACTGAGCCCTCGTAGAAGAGCAGGTCCCAGATTCGCAGCAGGATGCGGATGTCCACCACACTGGCAAAGGCAGTGAGGAACCAGTGCAGAGTGATTAAAGAAAGCTCTGTGAGGGAAAACATTTGAATGCTTTTTTACTGTACATATTTTGGAAGAATAACTCTTTGGATCAAAACAGATTTAAAAAAGTATCCTGCGGTAAATATTTTTGAGGCTGTTCGTGTCTCACCAATGTCATGCTCCTGTAGCAGCTGGTCTAGACTCGGCAGATACTGCACTATGAGCTGTCTGAGCACGCGCTGGTCAGTCTGAACTCCCAACAGCGTGGAGGAGAAGTATGAGGGAGGCAGCAGGTCCTCTATCAGAGCACACATCATCCACAGAGCATCCTCCTCCTCCAGAAACAGCAGCAGACAGGACACCACCTGCATCAAAGACAAACACACACACCTCAGAGTCTGACACCCGATGAGCCAAATGGTAGACAACAGAGAGCCAGAGTCTGTGATTAGGTCGCTTCCCACCATGCCTGTGCCCTGACAGTAGCCGATGTCTGGATACAGCCACGCCAGCCCTCTCAGGACCCGCCTGAGCTTGGGCACCCCCACACTCGACAAGGTGCTGAAGCACGCATTAGTGGGCATGGTCCGCAAAAGATCCTTTTCTATCTGCAGCACAGACAGAGAGACAAGCATAATAAAAACAATACTGGAACACGGCTATGTAAAGTCTGAGGTGTATGCGTGAAAGAATTTGAGCTTTCAATTGAAAAGAAAAACTTCTAATAAAGTAATCAAAAATCACAAAGAAAATGCTTATCAATGTTACCTGCAACAATCCCCAAATGAAAATAAATAAAAAATGACTATTGAAGCAGATGTCAAATTTAAAGTAGCTCTGTTTTTAAAAGCATACCTTGAGTTGCCTTTTTATGTGTTTATTTATTTTAAGATACTCTAATAGCCATTAAAAAGTTGTACGTATGTTTGTAACCCTAAATGTAAACCTACTGAGATATATATATATATATCAATCAGGATTCAGGATTCTCATAAAGGATTCTAATAAAGCTCAACAGAACAGCATTTATTTGAAATTTAAGTCTCCATTTCAAATAAATCTCTGACTACATCATATCTGTGGCAGAGATGACATGTACCTGTTTGGCTGCTGTGGTGTCATCATTAGAACTGTTTTTGACGATTTCCCTGTAGGAAATTTCGGATGTTCTCTTTTTCTGCAGGGCCCCTGACAAACGCATCCACAACTGAGGGAATGCATATGAAAGAGACAATGAGGAACATGAAAGATAAACACAAAAAGATCCAGCAGAGATGCAGTTGGAAGATCTTAGATTTGAAACGCACCGCTGTTCTCGTGGGAATCTCTGAAAATAGCAATACAGCATAAACAAGATATTACCAAGACATCATGTCCTATTTCAGCATTAACATGGTTGCCATGGGAAAATTACATCAGCAGATTAGCCGCCTGATGGTGTGTAACATTACAAAGACAGCCTTAAATATGTGGTGAGGTAAAAACACAAACAAAAGCACATTTAGAGGGTTGATAAACAGGTTCTCAGTGCTAACTTGTGGTCTCATGCTGTGTGGTATGCCCCCCAGCACAAGGGTCCGAAGGCGGTCAGAGCGAGCCAGGGTGGGAGAGATCTTGTCCCATGTCAGGTCTCCTACAGTGTGATTGTGCGTGAACTCCAGATGGGCTTGCCAGCGAAGTCTTTGCTGAGGGTCCTCTCTCTGAGGAGCTCCCTCACCACGCTGCCATTTACTTGTCTCAACCCCGTCTGAAACAGAAAAAAAACTCTTAACTCCTGACACATATGGGGAAAGACAGTAGATGAGACCTGCTTTTAAAAGGGACTTGACATTAAGCATTCCAGGAGGATACCCCTCTTTTTAAACCGTATCACTTCTGTTGTCAAAAGTCACCTGTGACAAACAAAATATCTATAACAAAGCTTCAACATAATAAACTCTACCATTTGAGTTTGGGATCAGTAAGAATTTTTGGTCACACTTTATTTTAGTCCGAATTCTCGCTATTAATAAACCATTAACTACGACTTTCGCCTCAACAAACTCCTAATTTGCTGCTGATTAATAGTTAGCAAGGTAGTTAAGATTAGGTATTAGGATGTAGAATATGGTCGTGTAGAATATGTGCTTTATAATTACTAATAAACAGCCAATATGTTAATAATAAGCATGCTAATAAGCAACTAGTTAACAGGGAGAATTGGTCCCTATACTTACAGAATTTTTTTATGTTTCTGAAAGAAATACATTTTTCTCACCAAGGTGTAGAATATGTGCTTTATAATTACTAATAAACAGCCAATATGTTAATAATAAGCATGCTAATAAGCAACTAGTTAACAGGGAGAATTGGTCCCTATACTAAGTGTTACAGAATTTTTTTATGTTTCTGAAAGAAATACATTTTTCTCACCAAGACTGCATTTATTTAATCAAAAATACAGCAAAAACAGTAATATTGTGAAATATTATTATTATTTAAAATATATATATATAGACATATACATTTAGTGCAAAATAATAGATTATGCAAAGTTCAGCCTAGTGCATAAATTCCTTACAATGTAAAGACAGATTTAGTTCTTTAGTTGTTTTTTTCCTGTGGTTGTCGTAGATATGTGTTAAGGTTGAGCCCTGTTAAATTTTTTTATGAGTGCTGATGTTCCCACACTAACCTTCACTATCGATCCGGAACCCAAATTCATCATACTGCAGTTCTGCTTCCATATTGGGGTCTTTCTGCAACAGTCAGAACAACATCTCTGAGAAATGAACCACTTCCCATAACAATGATGATGTTAAAATAACAGAATAACATTTATCTGCCACTTAGAGCATTATCAACAAGCAACAAAAAAGAAAAAGATATACGAGTAAACTACCTGACAGTACTTTGCCAAAATGTCCTGGGGCCACATGCTGGGTGTGAAGGCCGAAAAAGGGCCCCCTGGGGCTGGAGTGTAATTACCTGCTAAAGAGAACAGAAAACCATGTGAGGGGATTAACTGACAATAAACAAATACAACTATGCTTCAATTTTTATTTCATGTATTCATGCAGCAGTAAGCTTACTTGACATGGTCCTGGAGTTTGAAGAGTGTTTCTTTAGCGTCTAAAGAGAGGAGTCCGGCTGGAGCAGGTCAGGTCAAGGTTCACAGGCCCTAGATAAGGAGACCAAAACAATACAAAGCCATTCAAAGTGCGTAATTACTCAAGTGATCAATGCAATTCACAGCCTCTGGAAATAATCACCTCAAAATAGGCGTTTAAAAGACTGAACTAGGCAGAATATCATATAACAACGTCACTTTAGTACAATTAAAAAAAAGAAAAAAAAGAAGTCTGCTATGAGGAAGTGAAGAGTCCGAAAGCTTTTTAAAGCTGAACTTGAGCTGCAGGCACCTTTATACTGTCCTCCTTCATGCTCCAGTTCTCAAAATCAACGCAGACACACAGGATGGCAAGCTAAATCTTCAGCAGCATAGCATGTTCGGATAAATTAATCATGCCAGTGGGCCCATAGACGACACACTACCTTACACGACTTCTCGCTCCATGACACTGACATCATCTGCGCTTACAGCCCAGCATAAGGCAGCCTTTGTTTCTCCACTAAACTCATGACAAACCCATTAGGGGTGCGTGAGAGAGGGGGATATGTGATTATAAACCCACCCACATCAGAAGGAAGTAGGGCTGTGCGATTTGGGGGAAAATATCAAATTGCGATTTTTTGGACAGATATTGCGATTTGATTTGCGATGTTAAATTCGCAAAAGTCAAGCTTCGCTCAATATTGCCAATAATGTGCAGCACAATATGGGTATCATTACCATGCTGGAAAAAAACAACAGAAACCATCACAGAAATTCTTATAGTTTCCATTAAACCATTACAAAATTCCTTTTTGTTTTGGGCATTATTCCAATTGGAATTACTGTTGTTCTATTGGTTGCCATCTGCCAGATTACATCCCACCAATAGAATCCATCAAATAGACACCATTATAGTTTACATTAAAACCAATACAATTCCCATTATAACTCTGAAATCCATTACATTTTTTATTATGTTTTGGGAGGGGTTCAATTATTTTTTTTTGTCAGCAGGCAAGATTATAATGGTATAACTACTTTCACAGAATTAACTTAATTACTGAATTTCACAGAAAATTGCAGCAAGCATGAACGGCTCGTCCGTGATGCGGGATTCGTGCCGCGTGGGGCAGAGAGGAGCGAGTATGAGAAGCATTCACAGACACAGGCTGTGTGTGCGCTCTTCTGAATTGGGAATAGCGAACATGCATCATAAACTTATTTCAAATTAATCTGTTGGGGAGATAAAATGTGTAAGATAACGTTCACGTACTAACAAAAACATCTAAGAATGTATCTTTTATTCTCCAGTACTGAAAACAGAGCTTTTGATATGCGCTGTGACGCAGCTCTTGCAAATCACCTTTTTTGTTCGTTGTCTGTCATTTCGAAGCTTAAAGGGGCCGTATGATGCTGCTAAAAAGAACATTATTGTGTATTTGGTGTAATGAAATGCGTTTATGCGGTTTAAAGTAAAAAAAAAAACACATTCTTTTCCACATACTGTACATTATTGTTTCTCCTCTATGCCCCGCCTTTTTGAAATGCGTCGATTTTTACAAAGTTCATCGGTCTGAAAAAGCGAGGTGTGCTCTGATTGGCCAGCTATCCATATCCACATAATTACTGATTATAATGACTTATACTGTCTTTTTACGCATTGCATTGCATCGTGCCACGTAAACATAAAACCATGTCTGCATTTGTGATCAGAGAAATGACAAACAACAAGTGCTACTCTACACTGCCCAAAATTCGCGTTTGAATCATCAGTGGCAAATGATAAAAGAAAACGTACTGCCGGCATTTTAGTCTAACGTTACTCTCCCAGGATCAGTAAACAGTCCTCCATAAAATGTGCCGGCGATCCACAGCACTAAGTTGACGTATTCCCTCAGCGACCAGCACAGATCAGCTCTAGGCATGACGAAGCAGATATCGTCCTCTTTTGGAAGGCCAAACAAAGTAGTTTCGCTTTCACAACCAAAAACACAGCGACCTAGCGTGAGCGAAAGCCCCGGCTTAGCATGAGCTGAGGCGGCGGGGTCGAGAACGGCGGTCCCGGCGAAGGAGCGGTGAAAACGGTGAAAGCCGATCCAGCGATCCACAGCACTAAGTTGATATATTTCCTCAGCGACCAGCACGGATCAGCTCTAGGCATGACGAAGCAGATATCGTCCTCTTTTGGAAGACCAAACAAAGTAGTTCCGCTTTAACAACGAAGCACACAGCGTCTTCAAGACATGGCGGCGGCGGCAGCAACAATAGTACAGCGAGAATAAAAGTTACGCCTTCTTTCTTTGCGTGAACATTTGGGCGCCGTTATGCAAATCTTCCCACATAGTGAGGTAGATATGTGGGGGCGTGTTCGAATGAGCCGTTTTAGGTAGGCGTGGCTGACTCTTAACTTTTATAAAGAATATCTCTTTGGATTTGAGACTTTAGTCTTTGCAAATGTACAGATCTTCTTTATGCACCAAGAGATTGTAAAACTCCAAAGAGAAAGGAAAAAATGAAATCGCATCATTATGACCCCTTTAAGTTGCATACATTTTTCTTTAGTTTTAATTTGCCTAACTATCGATCTGACCCAGTAGACGCCATAATTCCACTCTGTCTCTCTCCCGCTTTCTGTTTTTTTTTTAATGGTGGGGGTTTACGCAGTTGGCTGATTGCGGAGAACGGAGGTGCGCTCACTCTATTGGTTAGTAAGACTGCAACTCAAGGCTGGCAGTCATGTATATGCTCTGGAACAGAGTAACATCTCGTCCATATCGCAGGCTTTGCGATTAGGAAATCACAATGTCTCAAATCGCGATTTCGATTAATCGCACAGCCCTAGAAGGATTGCAAAACTGATACCAAGATTCGCACCTATAAGCTCTTCTACAGATCTTTTGGTCTCTGCTCCAGTGTTTCAAGAGACTCAACAGTTTATGACTGCTGAACCAACCAGAGGCTTTTTAGAGGGTATGCTAATGCACCATTCAATTTCCTCATTTGTTTAAAATAAATCACTTCCTTGTTGGATGAAAGCCAACGTCTCTTTGAGAATGGGGTATAGGACTGCTCTATAAATGCACCAGAGCTTATCTTCCTGCTCTGCCTATATGTTGTGTGTTCAACATCACGTAAGAAAGAGAGCAATGGATAAACGTAGATGCTATCTGGACATGTATAATGCAAGCACAGGACCTCCTGGAAGCTGCATTTCAACGGTTTCATTGCCAGGTATTGTTACTTGGCATAAAAGACAATAACTGAGCCTTATAGTCACAGTAAAGTAAAAAGAGCTGGACACCAACATCCTGTGGTTGTGGTATTGATTTATGTGGGCCTGGATGAATGGTGCAAAATATAGCCTTTAACAGAGCTCAACAATAAGAAAGAACTGCCATCAAAAATGTAACATACATTGATATTGTGCATTCATTTGTATGCCCTGTAAACCTAAACACTTCATTTTCTGTGATTCTGGGTGTTTTTTTGACTAAGCCCCCCTACTGCTTACAACAATATTCAAAGGCCCCATTTCATTTCCAGTTGGTTTAAGATGCAATTCTACACTGCTCAAAAACTCGCATTTGAATTGTCAGAGGCATATCCTTTAAATGAAAACGTACTTACAGTCTGTGAGTCAGAACAGCCGGCATTGTAGTCTACTCTACTAGGAAACAGTCCTCCATAAAATGCGCTGCACACAGTACAACTTAACCACTGATTTCTAGTCGTGTCCTCTTTTGGAATGCCAAACAAAGTAGTTTCGCTTTCACAACGAAACACAGTGTCACACACGGCGGGCTTGAGAATGGCGCGGCCGGCGGATTCGATGAAGGAGCGGCCGGTGGGCTTGTGGCAACCACATGTGACGACCCCGGGCTCGACTCTGCTTCGTCCACAGTGAAAGCCGAGCCGGCGATCCACAGCGCAAAGTTTATGTATTTCCTCAGCGACCAGCACGGATCTGCTCTAGGCATGACGAAGCGGATATCGTCCTCTTTTGGAAGGCCAAACAAAGTAGTTTCGCTTTCACAACAAAACACACAGCGTCTTCACGACATGGTGGCCGCGGCAACAACAATATTACAGCGAGAATAAAAGTTACGCCTTCTTTCTTTGCGTGAACATTTGGGCGGCGTTATGCAAATCTTCCCACATCGTGACGTAGACATGTGTGAGCTTGTTAGAACGAGCCATTTTAGGTAGGCGTGGTTGACTCTTAACTTTTATAAAGAATATCTCTTTGGATTTGAGACTTTAGTCTTTGCAACTTTACAGATCTTCTCTATGCACCAAGAGCTTGTAACACTCCAAAGAGTAAGGAAAATGTGAAATCGCATCATATGACCCCTTTAACAAAATACTTGGATAACATGCTTTTTGTCCTTTTGAAAAATGACACGCATGCACAGTATCATCAGCTCATCGGTTCTCAAATCTGATGTGTCTGAAAGAAACGGTTCTCGGTTGAGTGTACTTGTGATCCGAAAACCGATGTAATGGGTTCATGACTCGAAAACGAGAACCGCTCCAGCAGTGGGCGTGTACGTTCGTTATCCGGCTCGCTGCACACATGCTGCTCTGCTCGTGTTCATCTTCAGTTCTCTCTTCACAGCAGTTCAGTCAGTGTACTGTTTGAGTAAATGAATTACTCCGGGATATTGGTTTATTTAGACTCAGAGGGAGTGTCAGCCACGTTAAAAAATTGAATAACTCAAGTAATTTGTGGATTAGTGCTTACTGGAGATGCAAACCGTTTTAGTACGATTTGGTGAACTGGTTCAACCGGTTCACTAAGAAGAACTAGTTAAATCAAACGATTCATTCGCGAACCGGACATCACTACGGCGTTGCACACAGAGGACAAAAATGTTCAGCCTCGACTCTTTATCGCCATTTGTGTTAAAATTTGCAAAGCGTAACAAATTGAACAAAACTATATAAATGCAAAATTTGAACTCATGAATATATAACGGTATCCACGGTATAGCAAAATTCATATCATGGAACAACTTAATACTGGTGGTCACTTTCATACCGGTATAGCGCCCACCCCTACTGCAGAC